CATTCGACATTCTTTATCAAAAACCGAAAAATAGTAATAATAATACGTGTATATGTATGTGAAACATTCTTTTGTTCCGGGTAACTGCTTTACACATGACGGTACACGACAATTGTACGGTGTATATTTGAATTAACTTTAAATACCAGAATATAGCCAACGATATTTATACTGAGAACAACCAGTTCTTGATAATGACTGAGATTGTCGAATGTCCTTGAATACCCCTTAGCCAACATATAGAGGAATGCAGTGGACAAAATCTGCAAAATTTTAGTGTCTCCCCAATTTAATAATGCGACTGCCGAAGCACGGAACAAAGTCGGTTTGATACAACAAAAGATGAACTTCGAACAATTTAACCTCATTTTTCCTATGTACATCTTATTCGAAAAAAAATAATTAAACAAATATCGTCGACTGAATTTTATAAAACCTATTATATATATATATATATATATATATATATATATATATATATATATATGTGTGTGTGTGTGTGTGTGTGTGTATGTATGTATGTATGTATGTATGTATGTATGTAAAATGTATTTGTCTTAGGAAGATTCTATACAAAACTTATTGTATAGATTAAATTGAGGATTGAAAAAGGCACCTAATATTTATTATAGTGATATTTATTTATAATATACTAGTAGTAGAGCGCGGCGTTGCCCGGGAATATAACAGTAAGAGATAGATCAAGTATCCACCATCATAAAGACTGAAAAATAAAATTGACAAACATTATTGTTTAAGGTTGACGGACACGCATGTCTTAATTAGTTGTGCTTTTTGTTTTGTTTTTTTTACGAATTGAGACAATAAGCAAGACAATAAGAAACACTACATGCCCCCGCCCCAAAGTGAAGTTTTGTTGAAAAATGTAGGTAGCCTTTCTGTAATCTTTTACTTTTACAATTTATGATTTTTACTTATTGAATACAGTAAAAAAAAATTGCATATTTTGCTTGTGGTGATTCATAATTAGAATTCTGATTTGAATATATTTTCCACTCGTTGTTTCTAATACAAAAAATATTAACTTTATTTGGGTTTATTAATTATGATCTAACAAATCTTATTCATTTAGTAGCCTTTCTGTAATAATAATCTTTTACAATTTATGATTTTTACTTATTGAATACAGTAAAAAAGTTTCCCGTTCTGGTTATTGTTTTTAGTTAGGACTTGTGTATGTTTAAATTTCATTATCTTTCCCTAAAGATAAAGAATTTATGTTTGTATTCGTACAATCAGTAGAGATCGTTAGATTATTGTTTAAGGTTGACGGACACGCATGTCTTAATTATTTTTTTTTATTTCTATTTTATACGAATTGGTCAAAACCAAACTCAAACAAAAACATTGTTTTCAATCGTTATGAGTCTACTGACTGAATAGAATTATTATAAATAATTGTCTTGTAAATGGAATTTTTAAAGCATTCTGAATGTTAAAAATAAAGAAAAAAGTGTGCAAGAGAATAAGAAACACTACCTGCCCCCCCCAAAAAGTTTTTGTTTTATCGGCTGAAAAATATAGGAAATCCGATGAGTTGTCCCCTTCCATTTTCACGATGTCTCTTAATCGTGTTTTCAAATTGATTTTGTGCAAAAACAATTATATTTTTCACATTTTTGGCGCTGTTAGAACCACCACAAGGTAATTTTAAGTAGTCCTCTGAAGTTTTGTTGAAATCGGTTGAAAAATGTAGGAAATCCGATCCAATATATAAACGTTACAGCTACACACACACAATCTGCGTTTTATAAGTAAGATGTATTTTACAGAGGAGAATTAAAACTTTGTTACTTACGATTGGATTTTCAGTGTTTTTGACTTAGAAAAATAATTTGTTGTTTTCCTTTTTTTAAACATTTTTTTATTTTAACCGGTCTCGCTTAGCTTTTCAAAAAGTTTTTTAACTATCTCCAAGTGTTGATGCTTATATTTTGTACCTATATAAAAAAAGAAATTCAAGGGGCGTAACTAGCTATATATGTCGTTTATCGTAAGGAGAATTTGGTAGAATCTATTTATGCAAGGAATTAAGTATTGATTTGAACTTGCTGATAAAAATATTTCCTTATTAATCCGCCTTTGTTCAGTGCTTCGGCAGTCGCATTGGTAAATTGGGGAGACACTGAAATTTTGCAGATTTTGTCCCCTGCATTCCTCTATATGTTGGCTAAGGGGTATTTTCAGGTATGGGAATCCCTAATTTGTTGGTGATGTCATCCTTTGTTGGAGTGACTGGGAAGTTTAGCCAATATAAGGCTCATGGCAACCTTTGAATATAATTTTGTATATTAAATTCCCAAAGTCGCACGAGAAATCATTTTTAATTTTGATCCGTCTTTGAACTGAAATTCATGACCGTCTAATAGGTAGTTGCATACCCCGAAACCCATATATATATATATATATATATATATATATATATATATATATATATATATATATATATATATATACAACCATTCTTTTAAAACATCTTTCATAAAATACAGCCAACAAGAAAGATTTAATTAAGTTTTTATTCCACCATCATAACGTTTTTTTACAAAGCAAAAAAAAAAAGTAAGGATGCTAGAAAAGCTTTATAAAAAATCTTAATTAAATCTTCCTTGTCGTCCCTATTTAAAGATATATATATATATATATATATATATATATATATATATATATATATATTGTGAATATGTTCATGACCAATTTCATAATTTTTTAAATTTTAATGTAAAGGAGGTAACTTATTTAATAATTAAAATATTAATAGAAAGTTATAATTTACTTGTTTTTAAACTGTTTATTTGTACTATATTCATAATTAATTTTGTTAAATCTTTGTAGGGTTGGCATTTATAGTTTGTTAGTAAAGGTAACTTCAATTCAATTTAAAGTTTATGATATATTATATATATATATATATATATATATATATTGTCCACTAATATTCTTTTAAATTTGAATGTGGAAAGGAATACATATATATATATATATATATATATATATATATATATATATATATATATATATATATATTCGACTCTCCCGACGTATTCAACGCATGAGGTTCAAGCATCTCAGTTCCTAGGAACTGACATCCAGACACCAGCACATGACATTTGATTATAGTGGTGAAGGCTTTGTGCAGAACCATCCACACTTCTTGAAGGGCCGAATACAGAGACCTGGTGCACTACATGCCACAAGGTCTCCAAACGAACTTCCGCATGTTTTGAATTCAGAGTTGTCCATCTCCTAGACCAGTTGCCATCCAAGGCTATAGAACCCAGTCTGTCCTGCTATTTACCCATAGCTGGAGAGAGAAGTGGATTCATACCTTTCCCAAGGGTATTAACACGTAATAGAGTAATGGTTAGCGGTTCGGACCGAGCCAAGTTCGAATTCCAGTCGAATATATATATATATATATATATATATATATATATATATATATATATACTGAATAAAATAAAACAAAAGAAATAACTGAAATTAATTAAAATCTAATCAAAAAATCAACTGCTTCTCGTGAACACGTTCTATCTCTCTAATTTCGATTGAAAAAATAATACTTTTCTATTAAAGACATTTTGCAGTGATTTTCTAAGCGTAGCTTAGATGCGGCTCAAGGACGAATGCATGGGGCACCCAGTGAGGATCGAACTCACGACTCAGTTGCAATAGTTATAGCGAGACAAGCTTGCTCACCATTACACCGCCTCGTGGTGCACTTGAGGTCACTTTGTAAACGAAACAAAATTGTTATATATTCATACATGTGTACATGTGTGTGTATGTGTGTCTGTGTGTTTCTTGTTACAATGAACGTTATTTTTAGCAAATCAAAAACGTTTATATTAATAAGAGATAGTTTTAGATAAAAATTCCCTTCAACATGTATATGTGTGTGTGAGTGTGTGTGCAACTGCGTGTGTGTGTGTGAGAGAGCGCTAGAGACATAGAGAGAGAGTGTGTGCGTGCGTACGTGTGTGTGTGTGTGTGTGTGTGTGAATAACGTATATTTAGGTATCAATAACACTAGTTTAATTAAAAAGAAGCGACAATCTAATCTGACTAATATTTTATTGTATTTTCACATTTTTTGAAAAAGGTGTTGTGTATTAGGATGAACATTTTGGATAAACGGTCCGAGCTTGTGTTGTTGATTTTTCAATTACATTCGATCGTTTCAGCCATTTTCAAGAACCATTGTTTTGTCACTGCTGTAGGCAGAATAACCTTGTCTATGTCCTGGTATTCTTTAAAATATGGAAATAGTCTAGAAGTAACGTCATGTGTAGCGGTAATTAGGAGCGATATATATATTTATATATATATATATATTATGAATATGTTTATATACATGTCTGTTTGAGAACGGGTGGTATCAGTTATATAAATATACATGATCATTTTTTGACACAGAAATATACAGCACATGTGTATACGCATTAAAAGCTCCATATTTATATAAATAGATAAAAATGCTTTTTAAATCGTATTCTTTTTGGTGTGGCTTCGTTCCCAATAACCGCTACACGTGACGTCTATGTGAACCATTTCAAACTTTCAGCTATACAAAGAATACCACGATGTAGACAATTGGAAATTCAATAAAAAATTAAATAGATGGACCCTGTCAATTCTTTTTAATCAAATTTGTTTGAGTAGATATATATATATATATATATATATATATATATATATATATATATATATATATATAAATGTGTGTATGTGTATGAATGTGTGTGTTTGTCTTATACATCAGTATAATACAGCTTTGTGTACATACAACGAACAAGAGTGAAATTAAAATCGCTGTATGCAATTGCTCAGTTTTCTACCCATGGACACTTTGATTTAAAAACTTTCCATGTACATTGTTTAGACTGATTTGTTTTGCGAAGGAAAAATAAAAACAGAAAAATCATTTCTTGAATAAGATTAAGCTGAACAGATTGTCTGTGTATCACCGAGAGATTTAGCTAATCCGCTTGAGGAAGTATTAGGATTTGTAGGAACGCTAGGATGAGGAATAGCCCCATGTCCCATTGGTATAGAACTATGAGATATGAGCATCCTTTACAAGAAGAAGAAGAATTCGAAGAAAACTGACGGAAGAAACTGACGGAAAAAAAAAGTAGTCTAAAAGAAAAATACTAGGAAAAAGTAATGAAGGAAGGAAGGAAGTAATGGAGGAATAAACGAACGAACGAAACATGATATACGAAGGAAAAGGAGAAAAGAAGGAATAAAACAAGAGTTTTGAAAGAAGAGTCGTAAACAGAAATCGGGGAATAAAAGAAGGAAAGAAAGAAGGAAAACACGTTCTGAAAAAAAAGCAAATGTGATTAAAGAAGAAAATGGAAAGAATACATATTCGAAGAGGAAGGAAGGAAGGAAGGAAGAAAGGAAGGAAGGAAGGAAGGAAGGAAGGAAGGAAGGAAGGAAGGAAGAGAGGAGGAAAGAAACAAGGAAGGAAGGAAGGAAGGAAAGGAAGGAAGGAAGGAAGGAAGGAAGGAAGGAAGGAAGGAAGGAAGGAAGGAAGGAAGGAAGGAAGGAGGAAGGAAGGAAGGAAGGAAGGAAGGAAGGAAGGAAGGAAGGAAGGAAGGAAGGAAGGAAGGAAGGAAGGAAGGAAGGAAGGAAGGAAGGAAGGAAAAGGAAAGGGAGGAAGGAAGGAAGGAAGGAAGGAAGAAAGGAAAGGAAGGAAGGAAGGAAGGAGGAAAGAAGGAAAGAAGGAAGGAAGGAAGGAAGGAAGGAAGGAAGGAAGGAAGGAAGGAAGGAAGGAAGGAAAGGGAGGAAAGAAGGATGGAAGGAAAGGAAGGAAGGAAGGAAGGAAGGAAGGAAAGGAAGGAAGGAAGGAAGGAAGGGAGGAAGGAGGGAAGGAAGGAAGGACGGAAGGATACGAAGATTATGGATAAATGAAGAAAAACTTCGTTGGAAGAATAATAAAAGGTGAAAGAAGGAAAGGAGGAAAAAGGACACGAAGATTATGGATAAAAGAAAAAAACTTCGTTGGAAGATCAATAAGAGGTGAATGAATGAAGGAAGAGAGGCAGAGAGGAATGAACGAACGAAGGAAGGATGAAGGAATAACTTTAGAAAGGAAACACGGAAACAAGAGCAGGAAATGTCATTGTAAGAAGAACCGAACGATAAAAAATAAAAGAAAGAAAGAAAGAAAGAAAGAAAAGACCACGACAAGAAAAGATTTATGGATAGAGAGATGTAAAGAGGAAAGTATTTATGTAATGCAGTGCGTGGTTGGACGAGAAAGGAAGGAAAACGAAAAGAATTATAAAGAAGAGTGTATAGTCTTGGGGAGAAAAAAAAAGTCGAGTGAAGAATTTTTAGCTTAACAACACGTCGATGGAGAGATTCATGTGGAAGTCTAAAAAAACTGGTTGTACAAAAGAAATCAGAATACAAACAGGAAATTCTTGATCACCACGAAAAGATTTTAAAAAATACTAAAATATTCAGCGATAAACGAGAACAAAATTACTGGAAAGAATAAAACAATAGCAAATAATTCGCAAACGCAGAAGTTGCTCTTTCCAAAAACGTCTGCAAGACACAAATATCTTAGTAGCTTATATAGGTAGTTTTTGCAAAATCTTTTTGACAAATTTCTGCTAGTATATCATTTTGATTTAAGCGTTAAGACGCAAGAAAACATTGGGCATACTCGTCGAACAAAAAGAGAATCAAACCTTCCATACAGTATTTTTAAATCATTTTACGCCATGCAAGGCAATAAAGCCACTAAGACACGTGGTGTTACTGAGTGTGAAAGATTAGAAAACAGAAACTTTATTAAGTAGCGAGAATAATAGAAGAGTAATCAGGAAGACAGAAGATATGGATTGACATTACATTTAAATGTTTGAAGATTAAAGTCGGTTGGAATGCATGGAACCGAAAAATGTTCCACAAGCGAGAAGTGCGGGTAAATAAAAAAAAAACTGTTAGCATAGAAGTTACGGTTACATCTAGCCAATTCAACGGTAAAATGATGAGACCTTGTTTTCTAGTTTCTTTAATCATTTCATAAAGGAAATAAAGCCCCTAAGGTTCAAGAGGTTACTGAGTGCAAAAGCGTATGAGATAAAAGAAAATCATTATTTAGCAGTGAGAACAATAAAAGAACAGAAATTAAGAAGACAATTGACTGCATTTAAACTTTTAGAAATCAGAGTTCGTTGGAAAGCAAGAAGCCGGGAGAGAGTTCCACAAGAGGGAATTGCGAGAGAAGAAACTGTTAGCATAGAACTTACGGTTACATCTAATCCAGTATTATGCTTACATTCATAATGTCTAGGTACCATAGCGAAGAATTCCAACAATTACCATGAAAATATGTATAAAAAAGGCATATGGAAGTAACTTTACGGCAGTGAGAAGGTGACTGAAGCCGAGACGTCATGTCAAGATCAATATTGTTGCTGATTCTTCCTTGGATTTTATTAAGTCTTTAATTATATAGCAGTAGAACTGGACTATATGTGGCAGTAATATTCTAATCGTGGGCAAATGGTAGTTTTATAGATATGTAAGATAGATTCCGGAGATGAAAATATCTAGCACAATACAGTGAACCATTTTTCTTAGCAGCTGACCTAGTAATGCAGTCTTTCCACTATGCCAGCTGACAATGTTAACCTGTAGAAGTTGCAACGAGTCACTCTTTGAAGTACTGATGGCAAGCAGAAAGGGGTCTCTCAGATGATTAACAGAGAGCAGTTTAGTTTTACTGCGGGATACCTGCATTAGTACGAAAGGATCTAGAGCAGTAGCCGTTCAGCTAAAATTACATTTCACGATTTGATAAGAAAAATTGGATCAATTCAAAAAATTTGTCCGGAGTCACCATAACTTTTTTACTTGTGAAGAAGGCCGGTATGCCAAAGCCTGTCGAACGATTTCGAGATGTCCAAAGCAACAGCCCAAGCTTCACCATTCTTATCTAAAACTTGATAGAGTCTTTCCATTATAATCGTTAATACACCAGCAGTTGACCTAGAGAAACAAAGCGTGTTTGAAGCAAGGCCCTGCGCTCTGAGATGCTTAACTAATTCAGCATTAATTAGGGCCTCTTGCCAAAAAGAGGTTGAAGTTTAATAAGCCGATAATTGGAAGTTCGAACGGTTCACCTGAGTTCTTTAAAAAATGAATCAACAGATGAGAATTTCCAGCAAGCAGAAAAGATGGACCAATAATATTGCTGATTCTTTTTTTATCAAGACTCTCTAAATATATAGCAGGAGCACCGGACCATATGTGGCAGCAATATTCAAAACATGGATGAATGGTAGACTTTCGATATGTAAGATAGATTCTGAAGAGATAACGGTTTTCTTTTCCTATTCATTCTAATAACTGTCCAACGACAAGGTGTCGCATAAGTTTCCATACATATGGTTTTTAATATTGTATATATATTTTTTTAAATTTCAGATATCCTAGAAGACGTGTTTGAATAAAGGTGTTTGGATTGGTCGGCGTGGTCCTGCGGAATGGTATCCCAGACAACCAAACCTTACTCGGCTTGATTTTTACTTTTAGGGGCATTCAAAGGACATGGTGTATCAGGAAAAGTTACAAAACGTAAATCAAACAACGTATCACCAACGCCATTACAAGCATAACACGAGAAGCAAACAATAGTCAGAGCATTATTTAAACAAATTAGCCATAAATAGTTAACATTTTATAGTCATCTGTCACTTGCCAACTAAGATTATTTTTTACAGTTTTATAACCTTTTATCAATTGAAGATAACTAATAAAACTTTGTTTCATTGTAGAGAAAAATGGCAGACAATGTTTCTCGCCTCAATTATTTAATGTCATCATGTTCATCGTCAATAACGAAAGAAACGTGCACGAGACCCGCAAAATTCATGGAATTTCAAACTAAAAAAGAAAAACAATGTGAGTGTTTCCGGACATCGTGTGTTGGAAGGAAGAAACGAAACAGAAAAGCATCTTCTGCTCTCATAGTCGAATAAATTTACATAAATCATATGAATAATTTGCATTTGTTTATAATGAATTCAAACTTAATTCAAATTTAGAATAAATAATAACACATTTGCATCATTTCAAGTTCTTGACTTTCATTTAATCTTTTCAATTCACATTATCTACAAGGTTTAAAAAATATTAATTTAAGTAATGCAATAATCAATTTACTGTTTTAGATAAATTATGGAATAAGTAGCGAAGTAATCGTTCGAAATAAGGTGATAAATTGAAATAAGTTCTGCGTAATTTGTCCCGTTATTTTTATTGTGAGATAAATGTTGTGACATTGCGTTGATGTTCAAACTTATTTCTTGGCTGCTGTTAGAGCTGGTTAGATTACGTGGGAAAATCCTTATCGCTAAAGACAGGTAGCATTAGTTCAATTGACAGTTTCTAGCGAAGTTCATTTCTAAGATATCTTAATATTAGTACATATTATGTTCGCCAGAAATTTCCAACTTTAACCAGAAACAACTATTCTCATCTAAAATGTATTTTTCGTAGAAAATAAAGATGATCAACGTAAATTCTCCTGTCACTATTGTGAATTTCAAGCAATAAGATAGTTCTCTTCCATGTCCAAGAATTAATAGGACTTTTTCTTTCGTATTTTTAGTGATGGATTCGTTTTTTTACGGCTTATCAATATTTTGTAGTTCATTTAAAGCCATATAATATTTTGTTTAGATTGTAAGATTTTTTTAGATAATAATGGTTTAGTGATACAATTCTTACTAATTAACGCATAGCAAGGAGTAGAAGAGGTGGATTCCTACATTTCACAAGATTATGTGTGGTTAAGTGAATATAACGAACCCAGTCGGAATTGGAACTCGGCTCTCCGATTAACACGTCCCTGGCATTTCCAAACGGTCAGCCACATAGGGATAATATGTATATTTATTAATATATAGATAATAGCTCTCTCGTATTTCATCGAGCACTGTTTTATTAAAACCAGTACTATATGTACAACATATATATATATATATATATGTGTGTGTGTGTGTGTGTGAATATAGAAGTCAACACTTAGAGGCGACAGTCTGTTTCATACTAGATGCAATCGTCAGGCCACGGTCTATTTGATATTGAGCACTTTATCCCATAAATATAGCACATCTTAAGACTATATTTCTTATTTCTTCATATATATATATATATATATATATATATATATGAATTCAAAACCTGCGGAGGGTCGTTTGGAGACATTGTGGTATCTAGTGCAATAGGTCTCTGTATTCGGCTCTTCAAAACGTGTGGTTAGTTCTGCACAAAGCCTTCACTACTATAATCAAATCTTATGTGTATGTGTCTGGGCTGTGTTCCTATGAACTGAGCTGATTGACTTGACCCTCATACGTCGAATACGAAGGAAGAGTTCATCATATATATATATATATATATATATATATATATATATATATATATATGTAAAACACATCTATGACAAAGTGGAGAGTTTTCGTGTTATGCGTTATGCCAATTGAGATTTTATCGAAGTGAAGCTGTGTTACATTGATGTGACTCCACATGCCCACGAAAGAGAGGAATCTCTAGAATTTTAAAATTTAAATTGGGAAAAATGTTTTAATACATTTTTTGTCTATATACACTCGCCGATATCATTTAGTTTCTTCCTTTTCTTTATGTTTTTAGCATTTTTTATTAAATTTAAAAAACATGAACAAAAACAAAATAAAGCTTAAGAAAATTAATCTAAAAAATATCAAATTTAAATTTAAAATGATGATGTCCTAAACGACGTAAGGCGTCACACAAAAACTTTTTCCACTATATATATATATATATATATATATATGTGTGTGTGTGTGTGTGTGTGTGTGTGTGTGTGTGTGTGTGTGTGTGTGTGTGTCGTCCTGGACATGACGATAAACTACATCAAGCAGCATGGAATCTGATCGAGAGATTGGAGGTTTTGAAGGACATGGAACCACCTCTTCACAGCTATTGTTTCCAGGTCCACTGAGACCAGTTGTAGTAGCACCTGTTAACCTCCCAGCTATGGGCAAATACTGAACGCACAACGAAAAATCAACAGAATTTATTATAATATAATGAGCAACAATAGATTTTTATAGAAAAATCATCCCAATACTAAAAAATATGAAAATACATTTTTATAGTAAAACTACCAACAATACATTTTATGATGTCCAAACTATATATAAAAAAACACGCCTTTTTTCTGAAAGTACAAATTTATGTACAAACTATTTAGATTTCGGTATTAAATAACCCATAGACTTTGATATACAGCTAAACAAAATCTATCAACCGACTTATATACAGTCCACTCCAAAAGTACTGGAATGGCAAGGCAAATTGCTTTGTTTTTTGGTGTTCACTGAAGACATTTGGGTTTAAAATCAACAGAATATGAGACAAGAATTCGAAAATTTAACTTTTATTTCCTGGTAGCTTAGGACATACCAACTTTTGTATCACATCACCCCATTTTTTAGGTGAACAAAAGTACAGTAACAGATAATCTTAAAGTAAATAAAATTTAATATTTGGTTTCATAATGCTTGCTTGCAGTAACTGCATCAATTTTGCGACCCACTGTCATTACAAAACTGTTGCATTCCTTATTTGTAATGCTTTTCTATAATTTTAATGAGACCTCTTTCAGTTCCTGTGTGTTTTAAGAAGTTTCTTCCTTCATTTTCTTCAATTAATGAAAATGCATGCTCTATTGGGTTACGGTCTGGTGATTGACTTGACAACACTGTCCACTTTTTTCCCCTGTACGCTTTGGATCATTGTCTTGCTGCATGATAAACTGCCCCAAAATTTATTTGGATGTAATTCTCCAAAAGCAGCCATGCAAGTCCAAGACACTACACCCACCATGCTTCCCAAATGAGTTTGTTTCTTGGCCTTTCCATCATTTTGGTAGACATTAATCTTGGTTTCAAGAGTCCATAAAACTTTCTTCTTGAACTTTTGTCGCGCATCTCTGTACTTCCTTGCAAATTCCAATCTGGCCTTCCGATGAGGGGCTCTTATCTTGTGATATGGCCTATATATTTATGTTCTGAAAGTCTTCAAACAGTGGATTAAGAAACCTTTACCCCATACTGTGGCGGTTGTTGCTGATGTCACTGTCGCTGTCTATTGCTTTTGGGCTTTTCTTCAGAAATTTCAAAATGATTCTAACATCAACTGCTGTTGTTTTCCTTATTCGACCTTTTCTATGTCTGTTGCTAAGTACACCAGTAGTGTATTACTTTTCCAGGACATTCCAAATTGTTGTGTTGGCTATGCCCAATGTTTTTACAATGCTTCTGATCGATTTTGTTTCTTTTCTCAGCTCCAAAATGGCTTGTTTTTCTCCCATAGACATCCCTTTCATCTTTATGTTTCTTTATCTTTTTTAACAAGAAATAGAATCTTTACAGCTGAAAACCAAAGGTTAAACCAAGAGTAACCATTCAGAGCTATTCAGTGTTTAAACAATTACTCTAAAAGGCAATACCTGGGCAACAAGAAACACCTGTTGGTCACGTGTTCCAGTAGTTTTGCTCACTTGAAAAATGTGTGGGTTCAAAGAAAAGGTGGTATGTTCTAAGTTGTTTAACACGTCTAAATATAGATATCAGAAAATAAAAGCTGAAATTCTGAACTCTTTTCTTATATTCATCTTTTGATATTAAACCCAAATGTCTTCAGTGAACAACAAAAACAAAGGAATCGGCGTTGCTGTTCAAATAATTTTGGAGGAGAATGTATATGCAGTACAAAAATTAAAATTGGCAAACCGAATTCAATTTCACTTCTTGATGATGTTTGTGTGAGTTGCACCTTAATACTCTTTACATAAGCATGAATATTCATAAATCTAAGTTCTATCTCACTATAAGATACCCATAGCAGAAATATCTCGTCACTACCATAGATCATTTAGTCCAGTGGTTCCCAAAGTGAGCGGTACCGTCCTCCCTGGGGGTAGTGAAAAGATCCTCGGGCAGACAGAAATTGGCAGCGTCACATGTGAACTATAACATACACCACGTTGTAGCTGAAGTATATCTTGCCTTCACTTTACAGTGTATTCTATTTATATAACAAATACAATCGGAAATACTCATTTGAAATGCAATACTAGCACTAAGTAAATCTAGTCAAAGGTTGGCTATACATTAGTGGCCCTTAGGGCTGTGTCTATCCATCGGGGGGGGCGTTGTGTGTTTTTTTTTTTTTTTTTTTTTTGTACCAGTGCGGCTAGTGTAATGGATGATGGCTCAGAATTAATCGGAGAGCCGTTTCAATTTCCATTGATTTCATTATACTCACTTACTCGCAAATAATATTGGAAAAAGGTATGAATCCATCACTCCCCTCCAGCT